CCTCATGGAGGGCAGTTTTAGGGAGGCTGAGGCTGCAGGATTGGGGGCAGGAGCTGCCCTGGGACTCTCCCATTTACCCCCATTTACCTCCCTGTGACCCCCATGTCCTCTCTGTCCCCCAGCCCCGGGTCCCCGAGCCCCCTGGGACCTCCCTGGGACTCCCACTGCTGACCCCCTGTGACTCCTGGGGACCCCCTGTGACCCCCCCTTGTCTCCCCCAGCCCCGGGGGTCCCCGAGCCCCCCTGTCAGCCTGGAGGGTGGTCCTGGGGAGGCTGAGGCTGCAGGATTGGGGGGGGCAGGAGCTGCCCCTGGCCCAACTGGTGACTCTGGGACCCCCTGGGACCCTCTGTGACCCCCTGTGACCCCATTTATCCCCCCAGCCCCGGGGTCCCTGAGCCCCTCTCCTCGTGGAGGGCAGTTTTGGGGAGGCTGAGGCTGCAGGATTGGGGGGGGCAGGAGCTGCCCCTGGCCCAGCTGGTGACCCTGGGACCCCCTGTGACCCCCCTTTATTCCTGTGTCTCCCCCAGCCCCGGGTCCCGAGCCCCTTTCCTCCTGGAGGGCAGTTTTGGGGAGGCTGAGGCTGCAGGATTCCGGGGGCAGGAGCTGCCCTGGACCCTCTGTGACCCCCCTTGTTCTCTGTCCCCAGCCCTGGGTCCCGAGCCCCCTCTCCTCGTGGAAAGCAGTCTTAGGGAGGCTGAGGCTGCAGGATTCCGGGGGCAGGAGCTGCCCCTGGCCCAGCTGGTGGTCCACGAGGGTTCCGGGGGTGCGGGGGTCACGACCTGGCCCTGGCCTGGCTCGACCCCCTGCCCGGCTGGGCCCCTGCGTGGGCACCTGCCTGCCTGCCCTCCCACCACCCCTGCCCTTCGGGAGCCCCTGCTGGGTCACGGGGTGGGGGCACCTGGCCGAGAACGGTGAGAAATGGGGGTTTGGGGGCTTTGGGGGATTTGGGGGCTTTGGGGGCTCTGGGTCACGGCTGGGGGCACCTGGCTGAGAATGGTGAGAATTGGGGGTTTGGGGGTTTGGGGGTTTGGGGGCTTCATTGGGGGCTCTGGGTCACGGGGTGGGGGCACCTGGCTGAGAATGGTGAGAAATGGGGATTTGGGGGAGTTTGGGGGGTTGGGTCATTGGGGGCTTTGGGGGCTTTGGGGTCTCTGGGTCACGGGGTGGGGGCACCTGGCTGAGAACGGTGAGAAATGGGGTGGGGGCATCATGGGGGGCTCTTTGGGGGGCTCTGGGTCATTGGGGTCATCATTGGGGGTCTCTGGGTCACGGGGTGGGGGCACCTGGCTGAGAACGGTGAGAAATGGGGTGGGGCATCATGGGGGCTTCTTTGGGGGCTCTGGGTCATTGGGGTCATCATTGGGGGTCTCTGGGTCACGGGGTGGGGGCACCTGGCGAGAATGGTGAGAATTGGGGGTTTGGGGGGTTTGGGGGTTTGGGGGTCTCTGGGTCATTGGGGGTATCCTTGGGGGTCTCTGGGTCACGGGGTGGGGGCACCTGGCTGAGAACAGTGAGAATTGGGGTGGGGGCATCATGGGGGGCTTCTTGGGGGTTTTGGGTCATTAGGGTCATCCTTGGGGGTCTCTGGGTCACGGGCTGGGGGCACCTGGCCGAGAACGGTGAGGATTGGGGGGTTTGGGGGTTTGGGTCATTGGGGGTCTCTGGGTCACGGGCTGGGGGCACCTCGCTGAGAATGGTGAGAAATGGGGGTCTCTGGGGGCTCTGGGTCATTGGGGGTATCCTTAGGGGTCTCTGGGTCACGGGCTGGGGGCACCTGGCTGAGAACGGTGAGAATTGGGGGTTTGGGGGTTTGGGGGCTCTAGGGGTCTCTGGGTCATTGGGGGCTCTGGGGGTCACTGGGGGTCTCTGGGTCACGGGGTGGGGCACCTGGCCGAGAACAGGAGAAATGGGGGTTTGGGGGCTCTGGGTCATTGGGGGCTTCTTGGGGGCTCTGGGTCATTGGGGGCTCTGGGTCATTGGGGGGCTTCTTTGGGGGGGCTCTGGGTCATTGGGGGCTCTGGGTCATTGGGGGAGTTTTTCTTTGGGGGCTCTAAGTCTTGGGGGGTCTCCATTGGGGGCTCTTGGCCATGGGGGTCTCCACTGGGGTTGGGTCTTCATGGGGGTCTCCATTGGGTCGGGTGGTTTTTGGTGGGGTCTCGGGGGGTTTGGGTTCCCTGGGGAGTTTTGGGTTCCCTGGGGGTTTTCTGGTTCTCTGAGGGGGTTTTGGGGTCTCTGAGGGGTTTTGGGGGTCTCTAGGGGGGTTTTGGGGGTCTCTGGGTGGATTTTGGGGGTTTTGGTTCCCTGGGGTGATTTTTAGGGGTTTCGGGGTCCTGACCCTCGGCCGAGCTCCCGTGCCCCCCAGTGTCCCTCCCCGCTGGGACCCCTCCCAGAAGGTGCCCCTGGACCTGCTGAGCCCCCCATCTGTAACTGCCTCTACTCGGCCCTGAGCAGGAGGGACCTGCAGAGCCCGGCCCGGCCCGGCATGGTCTGTGCTGGGGGGCCCAGGGGGCCGGGGGCCTGCCAGGTACGGGGAGGGGGCCTTTGGGGGCCCTGGGGGATTTCAGGGGGTAAATTGGAGGATTTGGGGGTAAATTGGAGTTATGGGGGGATTTGGGGGGATTTGGGGGTTGGGTCTGTGCTGGGGGCCTGGGGGCCAGTGGGCCTGCCAGGCACGGGGGTCCTGGGGGTCCTGGGGGTCCAGAGGGGTAAATTGGGGATTTGGGGGTAAATTGGAGTTAGGGGGATTTGGGGGGTCGGGTCTGTGCTGGGGGCCTGGGGGCTGAGGGACCTGCCAGGTACAGGGGGCTGGGGGTCCTGGGGGTCCAGAGGGGTAAATTGGGGGTTTGGGGGGATTTGGGGGATTTGGGGGTTGGGTCTGTGCTGGGGGTCCAGGGGGCCAGGGGCCTGCCAGGCAGCGGGGGCTTTGGGGGGGTCCTGGGGGCTAAATTGGGGATTTGGGGGGTAGATTGGAATTATGGGGGGATTTGGGGGTTGGGTCTGTGCTGGGGGCCCTGGGGGCCGTGGGCCTGCCAGGTACGGGAGGGGTCCTGGGGGATTTGGGGGATTTGGGGGGATTTGGGGGTCGGGTCTGCGCAGGGGCCTGGGGGCCGGGGGCCTGCCAGGTACGGGGGGGCTTTGGGGGGTCCTGGCGGGTAAATTGGGGATTTGGGGGATTTGGGGGTTGGGTCTGTGCTGGGGGCCCGGGGGCTGGGGCCTGCCAGGTACGGGGGTCCTGGGGAGGCTTTTGGGGGTCCTGGGGGGATTTGGGTGGTTATTGGGGACTTGGGGGTAAAAGGGGTTTTGGGGGCATTTGGGGGGATTTTGGGGATTTTGGGGGTCTCTGGGGGTTAGGGTGGTCCCAGAGCCTGGGAGTCCCTGATCAAGGGGGCTCTGGGGTCTCTTGAGGGGGATTTTATGGGGGTTTTAGGGGATTTTATGGGATTTTAGGGGTTTGGGGGTTTTATGGGTTTTTATGGGGTTTTATGGGATTTAAGGGGTTTTATGGGGTTTTTATGGGCTTTTATGGTTTTAATGGGATTTATGGGGTTTTGCCCCCAGGCGGACTCGGGGTCCCATCTCGAGCGGGGGTCCCTGGATACTGGGGGTCTGGGGAGTCCCTGGGGGTTTTTATGGGATTTATGGGGTTTTTATGGTTTTTAATGGGATTTATGGGGTTTTACCCCCCCAGGCGGACTCGGGGGGTCCCATCTCGTGTGGGGTCCCGGGGGGGCTCCCTGGGTGCTGGGGGTCTGTGGGATCCACGGTGGGTTTATGGGGTTTTTTATAGGGTTTTTATGGGTTTTTATGGGTTTTTATGGGATTTACGGGGTTTTGCCTCCCAGGCGGACTCTGGGGGTCCCATCTCGTGCGGGGGTCCCGGAGGGTCCCTGGGTGCAGGGGGGTGCTGGGGTCTGTGGGATCTCTGGTGGGTTTATGGGGTTTTTTATAGGGTTTTTATGGGTTTTTATGGGTTTTTATGGGATTTACGGGTTTTGCCTCCCAGGCGGACTCGGGGGTCCCATCTCGTGCGGGGGTCCTGGGGCTCCTGGGTGCAGGTTGGGGTGCTGGGGGTCTGGGGGGGTCCCTGGGGGGTTTATGGGATTTTTGGGGTTTTTATGGGGTTTTTATGGGGTTTTATGGGATTTTTGGGGGTTTTTATGGGGTTTTGGGGTTTTTATGTTTTTAATGGAATTTATGGGGTTTTGCCCCCCCCAGGCAGACTCGGGGGGTCCCATCTCGTGCGGGGGGGGTCCCGGAGGGGTCCCTGGGTGCAGGGGGGGTGCTGGGGGTCTGTGGGATCCCCGGTGGGTTTATGGGGTTTTTTATAGGGTTTTTATGGGGTTTTTATGGGGTTTAATGGAATTTATGGGGTTTTGCCCCCCCAGGCGGACTCGGGGGGTCCCATCTCGTGCGGGGGGGGTCCCGGGGGGGCTCCCTGGGTGCAGGTTAGGGTGCTGAGCTTCTCCTGGGCTGTGCCGCCCAACGGGCCCGTGGTGGCCGCGGGGCCTGGGGTCCCACTCGAGGTGGCTCCGGGCGCCGCCTCCCCGAGGCCTTCGCGCCCCCGGGCCCCAAAACCGGGCATGGAGGACGGGAAGTGCTTCGGTGAGGAGAGACCCCAAAATACCCAAAAATACCCTGAAAATACCCCAAACCCCTCCCCAAACTCCCCAGGGATCCCCAAATCCCCCCGGGCCCCCCCAAAAACCGGGCATGGAGGACGGGAAGTGCTTCGGTGAGGAGAGACCCCAAAACCCCCCAAAATACTCCCAAAATAACCCCAAACCCTCCCCAAATCCCCCTAACCCCCAACCCCCCAATCCCCTAACCCCCAAATTTCCCCCAGGCTGTGTGGGATGATAGGGGGACCCCAAACCCCCAAAATCCCCCAAACCCCCCTAACCCCCAAATTTCCCCCAGGCTGTGGGATGATGGGGGTTCCCCAAACCCCCCCTAACCCCCCAAATTTCCCCCCCAGGCTGTGGGATGATGGGGGGTCCCCCCCTGACGCCCCCCGAGGGTCCCTCCTGGCCCTGGGGGGTTTCCCTGCTGAGGGGGGGGCGGCGCCGCTGCGGGGGGGCCCTGGTGGGAGAGGGCTGGGTGATGACGGCGGCTCACTGCTTCATTGGGTGAGAAAAAACCCTAAATACCCCAAATAACCCCAAAATAACCCCAAAATACCCAAAACACCCCAAATACTACACCCAAAACACCACCCAAAATAACCCCA